TAACAGAGAAAGAAAGTGGAAAAGGGAAGCAAAGAAGAATAGAGAAAGGAAATAGATATAAAGAGAAAGAGAAAGTGGGAGGAAGAAGGGTTTCTTAGAACGAATGTCTTCGATTTAACTCTCCCGCCGGATTTAAGAGGACCCATCGCGGCCGCCGCCATTTCCCATTGACGACTAACGAACGATCCAACCCCGCGATACCCTAAACTTGTTTCCGTTTCACCGGGCGTGATCGAACCCGAGATCCTCTTACGTTACCGACTCCCTGTCCAACGATTTTTATTAATTTGCCACGAACGCGATCGTGTTCGCAGTGCGGGAGACCACGCTGAAGCAAGAGGAACTGCGGCCGGTTTACCATGGCGAGGAGCTGGAGGAATTGGTGAGTAGACGCGGGGAGGACTCCCACCGGTTCAACCCTCCGAAGGTGCACGGCTGTTTCTTTCCAAGTTGTTTATGCCGATGAAGGATGGTTCTCTGTCGCTTCTTAACGCACTTGGCGCGGGTCTGCGCTTGCATTTAATTACTTTCCATTATTTTTAATTATTTTTCCTTATTTTCAATTACTTTCCATTACTTTCCATTACTTCCCATCACTTTCCATTACTCCCAATTACACCCAACTGCTCGAATTATTCACCCGATCTCGGAGAAACAATTTCCGCTCAGGTAAACTGCGTGAAGGAGATGACGACTCTCAGCAACGTCACCGAAATGGACTTCTTCTTTTACCACGTGTCGACGATCCGGGATTTCATTCTGAACCCTAATATCGACGTGCTCACGGTGTATCTCGCCCACAAGAAGCTAAAAGTGTCTCTCGGCTTCCCCGTGTTCCCCGTGCGGGAGCTGAACTACTTCATCAGGGAGCCGCAAGAGATACTGACGCCGGACACCTTCCGCGAGCGCATACTGTTCGGCTCGGTGAACAGCAAAGTCGAGAGCCACGTTCTTTCCCTGGTGCAGAACGTTCTGGCGCCGATCTTCCTGCCCATCGAAACCTGGCCCGACAGTATCCTCCTCTTAACTCGCGTTTAATTAGCCGAACTCGGCGGAGGGGAAAGTTTATCGCCGAAACCGTCCCCGGGTAACGATACTTCAACGAGCTTCAAAACTTTGCCGGCCCCGTTTCTTAACTTTCTTTTTTTATCCCCGCCCTAGCCCCTAGGTTAAACAATGTGCCCGGGTAACTTTAATTAGCGCGTCCCCGCTGGAATCCGCGGCTAATTTTTCAGAGAGAATTTAAGGCGCTGCCCGGTGATTCACGTCGATGAAAAGGTTCACAAGGGTTGATTATCTCGATTGATCTTGTGGTAGATTGACTTTCCCTTGGAGGACTTTGATTGAAGTGTCTTTTTATATTTTAGCCGCGTATTTTGTTTTCTTGATGAGTTCTGTCGTTTTTATTAGATTCGTAAGAAGTAAGGGTAAAGATAAGTCGACGTCCGGAGAATTTTCAAGCACTCCAAGTGAATTTGATTGAATCTGGTTTATTAATCCACCGCGTTGCATCCTAAGTCGAGTTACAATGATTTCACACTATCAAATTCTCCATAATTCATAAAAATTCACGATCCAACTCCGAGTCTCTCCTAGAAACATCCCCGAAAGTAATACGAACCGATAATCAAATCAACCCTCTCCGAAGATCATCCTCGACATTCCCGCTTCACTAAAAAATCATCAATTCCCCAAGAGACAAAGACTAATAGCCCCAACTCTTCAAGCTACCAGCTCTAAACCCCCTCCACCCGATCCTCAACGATACCGTCCAGAAAGCGAGATCGCGAAATCCCGGGAGCGGTCAAAGCGGGTCCAATGGAAAATTTACGGCGCGCGAATAATTAAAGGGTGCCAGGCTGCGTTTAGAAGGGCCGCGTTCGCCTCGCGCATTAAACTTGAAACAACGAGGAGATAGATGGTTCCGCGCGAAACGGGCGAAGAAGAATCCAAAGGACTCAAGAGAATCCTTGATCAAAACCGTAGCCGTAAACGGCGGGGCCGCGTGAACGGGGAACGGGTTGCGCGCGTTCGCTTGTATCGGGGATCGACGGAACAACCGTCGAAATCCTCGGCGGGCGCTCGATTAACGTCAAGAACGATCAGGCGTTGCAGTCTCTTCAGCTTAAGGTTACAACGGTCTGAAGTGATGACTTCGCCAAGTGAATTTGTAACTTCGCCGACGCGCAATCCCGTTACGGCAACGCTCCGCGCGAACTTCCGGTTCCCCCGTTCCGCCCCCGGGACCCGGGGCCGCGCGGCGAGGGGGAAGGGGCGAAACAGGAAGGGCTGGACGAAGTTATTATTACCATAATTTTCGACTAAATGCGCCGCGCGCCCGGTCCCGCCAGTGAATTCGACGTCGATGTTTGCTCGTGCGCGAGCAACGGGATTACTCGGCCAGCCGAGACAGAAACAGTTCCGTTCGGTTACGTTCGGACGGAAGTCGCTTCATTATTTCTAATGGATCCACGGCATTCCGAGCGGATCGCGTTCGGATGCGCCTCTAATTGCGGCGCGATGGTTTCTTCTGGTTCTGAGCGACGGCCGCTGAATTTGCGGATGCTAATGCGAGCTTACGGGTTGACGGAGTTTCGTTGCGGAATGTCGCTTGATCTCCTTTTGTTTCGCTCGTGTGCCCAATTTCTAATGCTGAAGTTCTGCGGTCGGCGACTCTGTCAGGTGACAATGTGTAAATTCTCCGTTGGTAGACCGAATCTAATCGTTAGACGAAAGTAGGCGATTCTCGGGGAATGGGAATTATGAATCGGTATTTTTGTGGAAAGGTGATCTTATGAAGATTGATGGGATTATCTGTTTTAATTTTGCTTTGTTTGATGTTTGGAATTTGTTGGTCTTTAGTGGGACTTCCTTCTTAGTCTGATTGTTGCTCGATTCTTTCACTTTTCCTGGGATGTAAGAGGATTCCCGAGGATTTTTCTACGCTGTTCCTTAACCTCTTCCACCCACATGCGTGAAGGCTGAGTTCTACACGAGCCTGGATACCTTCCTCTGCAAATTAACGGATATCACGTACAAAATGCTCGGATTAACCGTGATATACGTGCCCCGTGAGGGCAGCAGCCTCATAAGTGACGAGTCCACGAAGGAGACCACTGTCGATAAAGAGCTGGCGAAGAGGCTGGAGGGCGTGGTGGTCCACTGGACCACCCAGATCAGAATTGCCCTCTTGGACCAGGAGCAGGCTACACCCACCGAGTTACTGTGCCTCCAGGACGAATACGACTTCTGGACTTATCGTTGTTGGTATCCGAAAGTCGAAAATTAAAGGAATCGTCTACAATCCTAATGAACACTTCATTCAGATTCAATGGACATTGATGAATCCTCTCACGATCAGTTCACTTTTACATAGAACTAATTTTATTAACCCTTTGCGGACGAACATCGACACTTCGCCGAGATCAAACTTTCTTATTTGTAATACTAAGTTGCAAACAAATGATTCAATTACTCAAGAAACCAGAACATAATGTCCTTATTCTATATTATTTAAGCATTCGATGTGCGATTTGGAAGAATCTACAGAAGGTTCTGCATACTTTAGAGAATCTTCGCAAAGGGTTGAATTATAAAATGTCAACGTTAATAATAAAATATCAACTTTAATCTTCTAACGTTTAACGTTTAGAGTCAATTAATGCTAATTCTATCAATTTTCTTATTAATATTACGTGACTATTTTTATAAATAATAATAGAGAAGATTGTGAAGATTCATTTGACTTTTTATCAATGTTACAAGTCGACGGATTGAAACATTGCGATTTTTAGTGTTTCTCACGACAACCTGATGTCGAAACCGAATATCTCTGTTACAGTCGACAATCTCTGTGGTCTAGACTATCAGCTACAAAGCCCCGTAGTCATGAAAATAACGGAGTACCTCTCGGTCAGTCTCTCGACCTACGTTCGACAGTTTCTCACGTTAAAGGACGAGATCGAAGATAGCGTCAAGGAAGCGAAATCGAACATTGAGTATCTGAGGGTTCTAGTGCACCATTCGACTGAGTTGAACAAATGCACGAAGCCCTCGGAGATCGGGCAGCACCTGATGAAGCTTATTCACCTGTTTAGGACGATCTGGCTGAATTCCCCTTACTACAACACCCAGGAGAGAATAGAAAACCTGTTTAAAGCCCTCAGCAACCAGATTACCATACTTTGCCGTGATTACATCGACCTGGACGAGGTTTTCGAGGGAAAAACTAGGAAATCCATAAAAAAGTTCGAGGAATGCGTGGATGCTTGTGAGAATTATAAATCTCTCTATGCAAAGGTGATGTTCATGTTTCTTTATGCTTACTTCATCTTCATTCGTTAACTAATAATAGGACACTTTAACGAACAATTTTCTGCGTAGATATATTGTCCAGAATTTAGTTCCTTAACATTAAACCTATCGAACAGTTAAATACTTTTCGAAATTCCTCTGTAGTAACTTCAAGAGTACATCAGTGTTGAATCAATTTCTTTAATAATTTATCAGAGAATCTGTTATCTGTTTCATAGTTGCAAAATGAAGGAATCAGGAATAGGTCATTTTGACTAATTCGATAGTTTTAGTATTAAACGTGTTTTGTTGATAACCATTTTCCTAAATTATTATGGGGAATAATGTAGCTCATAATTGATAGTTTATCCATTTTTATTTGCCGCAATTCGCTTAACCCTTTAGTTCCCAGTGACATCCCCTTGAAAACATATACTTCAATATCAATAAAGTACGAATCAGATATCACGAAGCCACAGGTATAACAATCGATATAATAATACCCATCTATTCCCTTGGCAGTTAGAAATAACATTTCTAACAAAAATACTTCTCAAAAAGTTACATAGTTGTACCAAAACTGCAGGGAGCGCGACAGTGCTTCTCTTTGTCACTATCAACTATCATTTTCTTACTATGTTTTGAAGAAATAAATCTTATTTTTTGATAGTTTTTTGTAATAACACAATATTTGCAATATAATTAGATAACTACTCTCGTTAATCCTTGTTCATACACACCCAATCACTTCAGCATCTTTAATATATATCCAAAAACTTTGTTCAGCACTCAAACGGTTTCGCTAAAAGATTTCGCTAAAAGATTTCGCTAAAAGATTTCATTTCGAACCTAAAAGATGAAAGACCGGTGAATAGACGCAGTTTTCGTTCGAACTGCAATTTAAACAGTGTTTCTCGTCGATATTACGTACAAATTCACTCCGGCGCGGGCCGGTGCATTAAAGGACTATTAAACGACGTGAGCGGAGTTACTTTAGATACTTGGGAAAGAGCCGTTAGGCAAAGTGAGGAGTTCCCGCGTTAAGCGGAAGTCACGGTAATTGTACCCTCTCTTTGGCCGGCTCACAATGATCCCCGTGCCGCGCGGAAACACGTCGCTGGCGCTGTTAAAATAATATTCGCCCCCAGAAACCACCCCCGCCGGGTGGCCGCTTAGCGCGAACAGCAATTAATCTTATCTCCCCGTAATCGCGTATTGTTGCAAAACAATTCCGGAGATTGGTTGCTGCTGCCACCCCCCTCCTGGCGCTACACCACTTTCCCACCCCTGTAAGAGTGCGTCAGAAGGAGTTCCGCCTCGAATGAATAGCATATTATACACGCCAGGGGATGTTCATTCGCTCCTCGCCGATGATTTACTTTCAAATTTTATCCCAGTAAAAAAGGGGGAGAAAGATCTCGTGGAAGCTTTCGAAGATTAGAATGAATCAAATCTATTGGCAGGTTTTTGCGAATATAGTTACCACAGAAACCGCGGATAATATTTCACTACTTCGAAAAAAGTGGAAACTGAATCGTAGTTTCAAATCTTCGGTGTGTTTTATACGGAGAGGGAAAATAGGTACAAAGGCAACGAATATCACGGTTGAATCTAATAATTGAAAAACTAACTCTTCCAATTTTCCTTCGACAATCTGAAAATTTCATTTCTCCGAACGGTTCACTTTATCTGTAAAAGAAGACTAATATCGCAGTTGAATCTAATAATTGAAAAGCAACCCTTCC